TGCCATGCACACGCCACGGACCTTGCTGAGTGACGCCGCCCGGCTCTGGGATAGTGGAGACTCTGGTCACACTCTGCCTTTTCTGCCTGGAGCCGAGGGTCTCCGGACCCCGGTGGGCTGCTCCCTGGGAGCCTGGCACACGCCACCCCTCTGCTGAGAGCAAACAGTGGCCCTTGGCCTCCCTCTCCGCCCTCCTCTGACAGGTCACGCTTGTTCCCAGGGGGCCCCTCTTAGGGGTCTTTCTCCAGGCCCTCATCTGGGTCAGTGCCAGAGTGCCTATGTCCCCCCTCCACTCCCAGTGGACGTCATAGAGGAGTGAAGGCCATGGACACTCACCGCCACTCCATTCCTAAGGGTGCCCAAGAGACTTCATGCCCATCTCCCTCCTTATAGCCTAATAATCTGCCCAGAGCCCAACCGAGAACTGTGAAGTCCACCTCCCTACTGTCCCCTGCTCTAGGGGGTCCTTCCCTCCTCAGCCTTCCTGCCTGGTCACATATCCTAGTCCCTCTTGGAGCCTTCTACCACTGCTGTTGTCCCCTCCGGCTGTCCATGGCCGAGACCCCGCCCCCCCCCCCCCCCCCCCCCCGCTGTAGCACAGGGAAGTTGAAGTCCTGGAAGACTGGCGAAGTGGACAGACCAGTAACTCCAGCAGGAGCCCTAGATCTGGTCCTTGTCACAGGTATGAGAAAGTCACTGTGGCCCCTCCTTGGGTTTCCCCAGCCTCCGACTGGGCTTCCCTGCCCTCCTCTGCCCGGCCTCTGCTGGGACGGTCCCCTCTCCCTCCAGCTTCCTGCCCGGCACCTCCCGAGCAGGCAACCTGGGGCCAGAGAACCACTTTCAAATTGGGCCCCCGACTTCGCAAGGCGGATGGATGGGTCCTCTTCCTCTTCGCCCCTCAACGCAGACCTGGGAAAGCCTCGAAAGGAGAACCTTCCTCCGTCCAGGGCCAGATGGAGTCCTCAGGCAGCCCTCCTACCTGCTGCGCGGGAGTCCACCACCACCCAGAGCCAGCAGTGGCCCCTTGGCCTCCCTCTCCCCCAGGTGGACTCCGGCAGGCAGCAGGGCCTGGAGTGGCCCCCTCGGGTGGCCCTGGGCTGTGGGGTGGTCGTCCTGGTGGGCTCTCGGCTCCTGGCTCTCACCTCTGGCCCAGCCAAGGGCAGGCCCCCAAGCCCCCAGCAGCAGCCTCCCCTGGGAGGGAAAGCAAGCAGGAGAGGCCGGGGAGACGTCAGCGCGGAGGCTGTAAAGAAACTTGTAATAATTTTAATCAGCACTTCCCTCTCATTTAAAACCCCAAACTCTGCTACTTAATCAAACGTCATGCTTAAGCCACATTTACCTCCTTGGGAGAAAAATGAACAATGGCAGCTCAATTTGGCTTTGGATGGGTTTTAAAAATAGTCGAGTCTGTGAAGGCCATTAGGTAAATGGCCTCAGAGAGCCTCGGGGAGGGCCTCCCGCGGGGCCGGCCAGCTCCTTTGTCGAGAAAATAGGAAGGCCAGAGATGAGGCGACCAGCCCGCCCTGCCACGGTCGGCCTGGCGTGATGTCTCCCAGGTGGGCACGGCCAGCCAGACGGGCCAGCGGAGCTGCAGGCCGGGTCCTCTGAGCAGCTGGCCTTTGTGCACGCGGAAGCTGGTGGGTGTGATCAAGTGTGCATGCGTGCGTGCGAAGGCGTGTGGTGTGCATGTGCGCCGAGAGGGAGCATGCGTGTGTGTGTGTGTGCGCACAGGGGACGCATCTCCCCAGGTTGTGTTTTTCGTTTCACAATATGTAAAACAAATGTTGTCATCGAGAGGGAAAATATAAACAAACGAGAGAGTCGGTGGGCACTGCCTCGAGGACAGCTGGCCGAGAGCCACCTCGGGAAGGTCCAGCCAGTCCTCCCCGACTGCCCGGCAGTGGAGGAGCCGCCAGCCACGGTGCGGTCGTTCCTCGCTGCCATCCCCTGGTGACTCCTGCCGCCACTTGTCCCTGTTGTTGGTCCCAGAAAAACACTTCATCTGTTATCTTCTTATTCCGGGGACCCCCAGGACATGTGCGTGGAATTCAGGGGGCCTGTTTAAGCTTGTTTGGGGGAAAACAGCATCTTTATTTTTGCTAACCTCAGTGAACTCGATCATGTCCTTCCCTAAGTGTGAGTGACAGATGACAGTGGCAGGAAAGTACCCGTGACAGTCTGACCTAGCAACTGCGGCCATCTCCACATGATACTACAGGACCTGCAGGTATCTCCACTCATCTTGGCATCAAAACTGTGGTATTTTGGGATCTGCCAATTGCTTATTTAATGCATTAATAAAGAGGAAAGCTCACTGCCCTCCACAAGTGTGTGCCCTTAATCTTCCTGGGCCCTGCTGGGGATGGAACCCAGGGCCTCTCTCCCATGCTGTGCACACACCACCCCTGAGCTGCACCCCGCCCGCTACGCTGATCTTTTGATAATGCATTTTGATGTCAGTGTCTATGATCTTGTGTGTTGTAATCTGTGCACTTAGAATGTTCTGAAACAGGCTAGCAGCTTCCATGAGGCTGTGGACGGGGTCCCCAGCACAGACCCAGCCCAGCCTGCCCTCCCCCAGCCCAGCTGGCCCCAGACTGTCAAGCCGGGCTCTTCCGGGACCATATTCCAGCTGCAGGAAAGGCCTGTCAGTGCAGCACCCGGCTTCTGCCACCGCTAGGTGGCAGCAGTGCGGGCACTGAGCCTTTGCTGGTGCCCCTGGGTCCAGCTTGTTCTTGGCAGGACCTCCTTGTCTCCCTGGCCGCTTAATAGAATCCCTTCAGATGAGGGTTCTGGGGGAAGAAGACCCGGGAGATCTGGGCACACAAAGTGCTGACTCACCGCTGTCTGTCTGGGGTGACTGGCACATAGACCACAACAGTCACACTGTGTGGGAGGTCAACTCCTTCAGTCCTTGCAAAAATCCCTATGTGGAAGGAAATAGGAAACCATCTTACAGACGAGGAGACTGAGGGTCTGGGAGGTTAAGATAATGGACCCAGGACTCCAGTCAGTAAATGTGCACCTGGTCTACCCATGTCCAGGCTCCTCCCAGCCTGCTTCAATGTCACCGGCCACTTTCTTGAAATCTTGGTGGGGCAGCAGGTGGGTCCCTCCTTCCCCCTGGGTGCAGGCTGGAAGCCTCTGGGTGAGAGGCCTCCTGGGATATGGCAAGTCCCAGCCCAGCTTGCCTGGCCCTGCCTGGACCACCAGCTGCCCCTCCCAGGGAGGCCTCACCTGCAAAGCAGGCTATGCTGACCAATCCCTCCTGGGTGCGGGAGCGCAGGGTGAGGCCCTAGCTAGACTCTCCTTATGGTCCTGGCCTGGCTTCTCATCTACTGCATGTGACGGTGCTCAGCCTTGATTTCTGAGGCTCCTGATTTTGTATTTCCCCCAGCAACATGGAGAGTTGGAAGTAGGGCTCTGTCCAAACAGTTCAAGGAGCTGGCAGATCCGGCCTTCCATGGACGGTTATCTCTGAGAGAAGGGGCTCTCAGAAGCGGTCAGCCTCTTCTCACACTCTTGCAAATACAGCTCCCTGGGGTAGACACCGAGAAAGCCCTGGGGTGGGGAAGGAACTGGTGGAGAGTCAACGCGGCCCAGGTTCCCTGGAACTCTTGGTGGCTCCAGAGTTGGGGCCTGGCCAGGCAGCAGCTGCTAGAAAGCCAGGAGGGCTGCCCAGGGGCTGTTGGATAATCGGGTCAGAAACACTAAAGCTCCAACCAGGAACTCAGCCAGTCCGCCGCACATGCAGCCCTAGAACGAATCGCTAGCAGGACCCAACCCAGCCTCCGGCAGCCTTCTGCGCAGCACTCGCTCGGTCAGCTCCCGCGGGAGGAAACTTTTCGCACAGCCCCGCTCCATGCGCCCCGTTAGTCCTCCCTCGAGGATGCCCCCTCCCCAAATCAGCGCTCTGAGTCCACTGGGCGTACTCGTAACCGGGTCGGAACCTCTAACTGCTTCGCATGCCATCCGGTTACCGTGGCAACACCATCCGGCGGCGCCAGGCGGTCCAATCGGAGCCTGCGGCCTCTCTCGAGCCTTTCCTAGGTGGGGACCAGGACAAGGCCGGGGATGGGAACAGGGGAGACCCAGGCCCCCCGCCAGAGTCGCCCAGGCTGGGCACAGACCCCCGCGGCGAGCAGGGCTACAGTGAGGCGTGGTGGTGAACTAGAGCCGGGGCCGGCCAGGGGCTCGGGCTCCCGTTCGAGGGGCGGGGAAGGCGGGTGACGTGAGCCTGGCCGGGCGGGCGGAGTTGGGACCGGCTCGAAGAGGCGGGGGCGAGCGCGCGGAGAGGCAGACGCGCGAGGGAGGCGGCCGAGCGGCGCAGGCGGCTCTGCGGAGGGCGCGGTGGGCGCGGGCGGCGGGGCCCCGGGATCCCCGCGCGCCTCCTCCGCGCGGCGCCGCCGCCGCGCGTCCTCACGCCCCGCGCTCCACGGCGCCCTCGCTCCGCGCGCCTCCCTTGCCCGCCTCTTGCCAGCCTCCGGGCCGCGGCCGTCTGCAGAGCGAGCGCTCAGACGGAGCTCCCGGGCAACTTGAGCAGCGCCGGTCGGCGGCGGAGCCCTGGACCGAGCCCCCTGATCCTGCGGCGAGTGAGCGGACTCGCGTCCGCCGGAGTGACAGTCGTCCAAATCAGCGGGCAACGCCGAGTCTTCGGCGCCGGGCTCCGGCTGGAGGCAAAGCCGCGCCGCGAGACTCGTACCGCTCTCGGCGGGGCCGCCGGCCTCTTCCCCGCCGCCCGGGAGGGCGAAGCCGCGCCTTTTCAGACTCTCGCTTCGCAGCTACAGCACCGGAACGCGCCCCGCCTTGCTGCCACCTTCGCTGTGTCGCCCCTGGAGGGGGCCACAGCCCCGCGCCCCGGCCGGAGGATGTGCGTCCCCGCGGGCCGGCCCGCTTGAGCCATGCGCCCCAACGGCGGCGGCGCGCCGGCCGGCATGGAGCCCCGCGCGGCCGCGCTCTGACTCGCTGTGCGCCCCGCGGCCGGCGGGCGGCGGGTGGCGGCGGACCGAGAGCTGGAGACCGGCGCCACGGGACCGGGACTGAAGCGAGCGGGCGCGGGCGCCGCGCAGATGGCCGGGGCGAGCAAGGTCTGAGGCTCCGCTCCCCGAAACGTGACCATGTGGATTCAACAGCTTTTAGGACTCAGGTGAGCGACCCGGCTGACAACACGGTGCGTGTGGGTGCGTGGGTGACGGGCTGGCCTGAAGCGGCGCTTTCCTCAATGTTGCAAATAAAGAGACCCCCCCCCCCCCGCGCTTCCCGAAAGCGGCCAGCTGGGCGCACCGGGGGCCGGTAGGGCGGCCGCTTGGAGACCAGAGCCCCACGGCCCCGCAGGGAGCGGCCGGTTTTCCTAGGTCCCTTGTGTCCCGGGGTCGGGGCAGCGGCGTTCGCCCCAACAACCTGGGCAGCGGAGCTGGCCGGGCGCGCCCGCAGTTGCCGGCGCCAGCAGCGCAGTGTCCTGGCCGGCCGCCCCAGCGCGCCTCCTCTCCGGAGCCCAGGGCGAGGCACGGACTGCTGGGCGCGGCGGCGGGCGCAGGAATCGGGGCTTCTAGGGAAAGCCAGCGCTCCTGGCTCCCCGGGAGAGCGCTGCAGGCGGAGTCGGAGGAAAGCTGAACCAGCGGCTCCACCCTCCCTTCTGTCTCTTCCTCTGGGCCCGGGACTGAACAGGAGCCTCCTAGGATCCCAGCTGACGACCCAGCTGTGTTTGGGTGACCTCCGGGCGGACTGTCGCGCACAGCTGGCGGGCAACTGAGACTGGAGAGCCCGGGCTCTGGGGGAGCAACAGCAGGCAGCCTCCCGAACCACTCACATGCACACACTCGGCATGGGTGAGCCAGGGTGCTGGTCTGTGTCCCCGACTCCAGGGCCCGCTCAAACAGGGTTCTAGCCCAGCCACTGTGGCGGGAGCTTTCAGAAGGACCCTTCTCAGCAAACTTTGCCCACCCACCTGGGTACTCTGACTCCATCGGCCCCTGCATTGGGGGCCCCAGGGCCAACCAGAACGCACTTGTCCCCTTTAGAGCTACCTTCTACCCCTCTCACTCCGGCCAGGGTCTCCCGCAGAGCTGGTGCCTTTGGGTCGGGGCTGGAGCCCAGAGCCAAGAGGACTTAAGGTGGAGGCGGAGAAAACCTGCTTGAAGTTCCCGAGTTTGTCCACTGGGATGCACTGCGCTCCCGCGATGGGGCTGAAGGGGGTCAGCAGTTGCTAGAACAGGCTGCCTCCTCCGCCCCCACCTGGCGTGAAGCTGGGGGGAGTGGGGCAAAGGGAGGGAGGAAGAGTGCGCGTCCTGATTTTGAGAAATGGAAAGGGGACTAGCCTGCCAAGGGTTTTCTAGCTACCCTTGATTTATGAGTCGATTTGGCACGGAGGGGTAAATGCTGTTTAACACATCTTATGAAAATTGTCGAATGTTCTCATTGGCATCCCTTTGCCTGTCCACGGGACTTGACTGTGGCTGTGGGATTTAAGAGGTTAATCATGAAGCTGATCCTGTAGGGTGTTGGTTGTTGCTGGGCCTGGATCAACTGATTGGTGTGCTTGGGCTAGATAAGGTTTGGTCTTGGGGTGTCGGCAAAAGGGAGCAAGGACAGCTTTGCCCAGATGACCCGGATCCAGGTGCCCTGCCAGCCTGCAGTATGTGCTTCAGCTCTGGATTGTCCCGGGTCTCAGCCAGACCCCATGGGCCTGGTGAATGACCAAACAGTTCTCCACCCTGCCCGGCAGTTGCCTTTAGCTCCTGAATGCTTCCGGAGCTGCCTCCTGCCACTAGGTTGCTGATGGCAACTTACTTGAACAAGCTCAGGCTTTTTTTTTTTTTTATTGCTAAGTTACTAGATTGAAAGATGAATACATTTTGATAAGGGAAGAGGAGAACAAATATTATGCACAGAAACCTCTCTTTTGATTCAAAATTCTCTAAAACAATTCCTTTACAGCATCCCCACATAAGAGCTTCCCGAGATTTTGCTTTCAGAAATAGTTCTGTTGGTGATTTTGAAGTATGACCTTTTGTTTTTTTCCCCATCCATGTTAGCACGGGAGATATTCTGTAAATGTGCCTCTACGGATGAGCTGTCACCTCTCCGCGATCTTGATGGCAGAGCTCTCGGTCATATTTGCTAGTGCTGACTCCTGGCTAGGGTGAGAGGCCTGAGCCAGGGGGTCTGGTGGCTGCACATCACTCTGGAGGCACAGGGGCTGGGAATAGAGGGGTTTCTTGCTCACGATCTGGGGGTTCACTTTTCCTTTCCAGAAAGCCCTGGGCCTCTGCTTGCAAGTTTGCTGCCTGGCTCCCCAGGTGAGCACTGGGCATCTTGCTACCGAGCTTGGAGGCTGGTTCGGACAGGTAGAGGCTGAGTGCAAGCTCTGCCAGGAAGAGTCTCCTTTAACCTGGGGGAGGGGCTTCTCAGCTCCAAGGCGAAGTCTGGGCTTGGTTATTTCCTTTTGTGTTGGAGCTGAGCTGTACTTGGAGCCTTGACTTTTTAGGAGAGAGAGCAGATGGAGTCTAATCGATCTACTTTTCTGGTTTTTTTTTTTTTTTTTTTGGTGGTGGTGGTGCTGATTGTATCCAAATGCAAAGCTACTTCCCAGCACAGGGAAGGGCAGCCCTTGAAGGAGACCCTGGAGCAGCAGCCCGGAGGGTGTGCTTACTCAGCAGGCTGCCCCGAGTTCCGAGTTTGGCTGCCTGGTGGCAAGTGGGGCTTCCCACGTCCATCCCAGCCTGCTCAGGACTGTGACCCCTTGCAGAGGGCCCCGTGCTCACTCCCAGGCTGTGTGCCTCGGGGTTACTCGTCTCTTCTCACCCCCGAGGCTCCACTGCCCTTCTCTCTGGGCCCCAGGCATGTCTAACCATATCATTCAGTTCCTCAAGTCCTCAGTGTGCACGCTGTCGTGTGCCCGGGCCTCCCACAGGGACCCTCGGAGCTGGCTCACACTGTCCCTGACTGAAGTCCCCCAGCAGCTGGAGCTGAACAGCCCGGCGGATGGAGTCCAACGCTCTGTCCACAGCGCCACGCTCCCGGTGAATCCTGGCTGGTGCTGACTTCCAGCTGCTGCTACTAAATTGATTGCAACTGGAATCTGTGTAGTGTCAGCCTCTGTGATACCCATCAGGGACAATAATGCTGGAATAAATCACAAATTTAGGAGGCAGCTCAAATCTTCAGCAACATGAGTCCGTCCCCCTTAAGCTCGGCCCTTGTTGGGGATCCGCCGTCCTGCTGGGGAGCCGGTTGGACCCCTCCCAGCCGTCTCTGTTGTCTGTTTATTTTAATCACCTCTTCCTTTGCCTCTGTGCATTGGAGAGTGAAGCAGGCCAGGCAGCACAGAAGCTGAGCTGAGACAGCTCTGCGCCTCCCTGGGGCGTCCGTCTGTGGGTCCCTGGAGAGGGGTCAGCTTGCTTTCCCCTCTGTGTGCCTCAGCCTTCTGGCAGGGGTCGCTCTGGGGATGGCCGTGTCCCATCCCAGACACATCATCCTGGTCCCAGCCTCTGTCTCTGACACGAACAAGGCATTTGGAAGATGTGGCTCTGTGCCCCCTGCGTCCTGTGTCCCTGAGACTTGGCGGGAGCCCACAGGACACCTGGAGTGTGTTGAAGAAGGCTGCTCCCTGGGTCCCCATGAGGTGGGTGGGCACAGAGCTCAACTGCAGTCTGCACGGAGCCCGGAGCGCCAGGGCTCCTCCCGGGGGTGGCGTTGGAGTCATCTGCTTTAAATACGGAGCTGCCAAGTTTTCTTCAAAGGGTTACAAGTCAGTAGAGACCAAATTGATGTAAAGATTAGCTTGGAAAGCCAAGAATATCCTTGATCTAGATTTCCACGTTTGAAGTCTGGCTTGAGAGGGCTGCTCCTGCCCAATGCCAGTCAGACAGAAGGGGGAGGCGGGAGCAGGGGCTCGCTGGGGCCAGAGCAGACAAACAGGGTGCATCTGACCCTGCTCTTTGTTCCTCAGAGACCCCTTCCAGGAATTCAAAGGGGCTGGTGACTCATGAGGCCACCGAGTGGGGAATGGTGGTTACATAACTCAGATTAACTCTCAGTTAATCTGCTTCGAGCAGCAAGTCGGGCCGGAGTGTGCCCATGGCAGAGCCAGGCCCTCAGGGTGCCCTGGGCCCTCTGGTTTCCATCCCTGTCGGGGCTGGGGCAAGACCCAGGTGGAGGAGGGCAGCTGCTACCCCTCGTCAGGGCCACGACCTGAACCCCACAATAACCAACCAGGGGTGGTGGGTGCTGCTTCAGTGCCAGGTCCCCAAGGCCCCCCCAGGACTGAGGGGAAGACGGGGCTTGTCCTGCTGCTGGGGAGCTTGGCAGCTGCCTGACTGTGGGTGGCCCGAGTTAACTGGGACAGGCAGGCACACAGAAGTGGCCTGAGCGCTGTGCCATCCCCTCCCCCACCTCCTTGCCAAGTGCTCCTCCGATGACAGAGACCAGGATCCTACCATTGGTCCCTGGGATCTTAAAGTTGGTAAATATTTACAGTACAACCAGAGGAGCCCCAGGGGAGGACAGTGTGTCCCAAGTCATGTGTCTGCAGAGGACCTAGGAGTTCCTACAGCTGGACAGGAGGCCCAGAGGGAGGAGTCAGGGCCCTCTGCGTCCGTGTCCAGGGCGCACCTTCTTTTTTTCTTTTTTCCCCTGTGGTCTGGGGATGGAATCTGGGGCCTTGCACGTTTGCAGCAAGCTCTCTACTACGAGCTGCATCTCCAGACCAACTTTGTTTCTTTATCCATCCCCCAAAAGTTTGGTGGCTCAAAGCTGAATTCTCCTGTGCTTCAAATCCTGTGGCCTGCGCCTTCTGAGCTCACCCTAGACTGCGCCTGTGTGGTCTGCTCACTGGACTTCGACCGTCCATGGTGCTTTCCCTTGGTACAGGCCCAGGAGGGCGGGCCAGGCTGGGACCCCACCTGTCTGCCTTCCCGTCTCTGCCAGCCCTCTGGGCAGTTCCCTGAGCCGTGTGGCTCCTGGGGCTCTGCTGCCCATTGTCCTAGGGATGTCACGCTGCTCCCTGACTCTGCTGGCCTGTGACCTCTGGGGCAGCTCGAAGGGGCCGCCACTGCAGCAGCAGCAGCAGCAGCAACAGCAGGAACGTGAACCTGGCTGTGAGGAGCAGGGGCTGTGTTGGTTGGGAACGCGCAGGACCTCGTGTGC